AATCAGAATTTTAAAGTCACTGTATTATTTTTTTATTTCTTTTTTTTTTTTAATTTGGATATAAATCTCTTTCAAAGTTATTTTCTCGGCTGCTATATTTTTTGTGTGGTTCCTCTGAGCATTTTTTGAAGAAGCAGGGGACCATTAGATGCAATTAAATCATGTCTATAGCAAGTTTTATCCTTTTGCTCTTTGTGTTGATGTCTTGGCTAAATGGAAAACTTAATTTCTTACTCTGCTCCCTAAAGTTTAAATTGAGTAATATGGTTTTCATTTTCTGTACATGATTGTATTTTTTCTTTTTTGGCATGCTCTGTATGTGTAACTATGTGTACCTTATATGTTGGTATAACTACTACATTTATAAAGTAGAAGATTATTTGGATTAAAATAGAGTTTACAACAGGAAAGAAATCATAATATTGTCAAACAAAAAAATTTTATAAAGACACTAAAATTGTTGAATATTTACACTGGGATATAGCTCAGATGTTGAGGGCTTACCTAGGGTTCAATTCTCATCATAGCAGGAGAAGAAAAGAAGTATGCAAAAGTTAAATACCATTAATATTTTTTAGTTTAAAATCACACTTTCAGCACATTTTTTTTCCAAGTACTTTATAAACCGGTCAAACCATCTGTCTAAGGTGGTTGAAGTGTTTGGAGGAAATTGCTTGACTATTCTGATTGAAAGTATCAATTCTGGGGCTGGAGAGATGGCTCAGCAGTTAAGAGCACTGACTGCTCTTGCAGAGGACCCGGGTTTGAGTCCCAGCACCCACACGGCAGCTACAAACAGTCCTTAACTCCAGTTCCAGGGGAATCCGAAGCCCTCTTCTGACCTCTGTGGCATTCACATACACGTAGGCAATACACTCATACACATGAAATAAAAATAAATAAAATATTTAAAAAAGAAAAGAAAGTACCAGTTGTACTTATCCGTCTTAGTTGGACCCTCTCTGCTTGCTGTCTATCAATTATTGCTATTTTTTTGCTTTTGTTGATTTTGTTTCTCTCAGAATGCATTCCAAGTTGTGAAGGCTATGGGAATAGCTCACTGGTAGAGTACTTGCCTCCCATGATTAAAGCCCTTGGTTTAGTCCTCAGAACCCAAAACAACTGAACCCCAAATTTTACTGTTTCTGTGCTCTTTTCCTAATAACCCTGCCACCCCCACTTTCTCAGGATATTTCTTTGTTTCAACTTCTTGTTTTTACCTTTAGAGTAGTGATATTTATACTCTAGGTCTCTAAGGCTTAATGGCAGGAAGTTGTTCTTTCTAAGACTTGATTCTTCGCACATCTCCAATGATAAGTTTCCTTGCACATTACAGTCATGCTGAGACATTTCTGCTGTCTCAAAAATTCCACATTATTTCGTGCTTTTGTGTTGCTGTCTGGAACAACCTTTTTCTCTGTATACATTGCTTATAACCATTGTGAATATTTTTGTTTAATAAAGCCTTTGTTGATTTCCATAGGCACAAACATACATGCAGAGTGAATCACTTCATTCCATAACTACCGTGGTGCCATATACCCATTTCCTTCATTCTTTCATTGAACACCATATTATGTGCCAATCCGTGGTTTACTACCTAGTTTTCTCTGTTTTGTGTCTGAAAGTCAGAGACCATGTTTTATTCATCCTTCTATACCTGATTCTGTGGTCACTAATTCTTGAATGCTTCATTTTTGTTTTCTTTTTCTTTATTTTGGGGAAAAAGAAAAATTGTATGGTGTTTTTTCAATTCTTGCATTTGAATTAGTGTTAATTTATGGTTAAGAGTGGTCTTTTGATTATATGTAAATGATATAAAATTCACCCTAGTTTCATATCTTTTTGTTTATTTGTTTTGTTTTGTTTTGTTTTGAGACAGGGTCTCACTTTGTAGCTCTAGCTGGCCTAGAACTCACTTTGTAGACCAGGCTAGCCTCCAACTCTCAGAGATCTGTCTGCCTCTGTGTCCTAAGTACTGGGTGTGTATCACCACACTCAGTTCCTGTTTTTTGTTTGATGGGTTTTTGATGCTAATCATCTCTCTAGCCCTCATGCCCCCCCACTTAAGAAAAAAAAAAGATTTACTTATTTTATGTATGTGTTTTGCTAGCATGTATGTGCACCATGTGTGTTTGCTTGGTGCCCGCAGAGACTGGAAGAGGACATCAGATCCCCTGGAACTGGAGTTACAGATGATTATGGGCTTCCATGTGGATGTTGGGAACTGAACCCAGGTTCTCTACAAGAGCAGCAAGTGCTCTTAACCACTGAGCCATGTCTCCAGCCTTTATAGCCTTTCAAAACAATTATTTTTATTACTTTAGTTATGTGTGTGTATGTCTCTGTGAATGTACACCACTTTGTACATGCCTGTGAAAGCCAAAAAATGGTGTTGAATTCCCTGGAGCTGGAGGTAGAGGAGGTTTTGAACTTCCAGATATGGGTGTTAGGAACTGAATTCTCATCATCCAGAAAAGCAGTAAGCACTTTTAAACTGCTGAGCCATCTCTTCAGCCCATATCCTTTTTAATATTGAAGTTCAATAGCAGCTTAGTTTTTGTGTCTGTCTTTCTTTCATTCATTCATTCATTCTGCCAAGTGATGGGATATTTTACATCAGTTCTAATTCTTGAACTTGTGTGTAATCTGCCAGCAAGTTTCTTTTCATATAAACAACTGCCTAATTTTAGAGGAGAGAAACAAACTCAAAAATTAAATTAGAATCTGTTCATGATATTTTTTATTTTTGATAATATTTACGCTGGTATGTTCTGTGTTACTAATTTTTGTTTTACATGTAGTTGCTTGTATTCATTGTTGGGATATAAGAAAAGAGTATGTCCAAATGAATGTTCAGTGATTATAAGAATTTGGTCTATAACCAGATTTTAAAACCTGAAAGTACAACTTTATGTCTTCAGATTGAACTGAGAGAACGAGAAATAGAGAGGCTGTCGGTTGCTCTGGATGGTGGTCGTTCCCCTGATGTCCTGTCTCTGGAGACCAGAAATAAAACCAATGAAAAGCTTATTGCCCACTTAAATATTCAGGTAATGGCTATTAGAATTGTCATAAGTATATAAAATCTCAGGGTTTTATAATGATCTGTGGGATCGTGAAAATGAAAAGCTTATTCACTGAGGCATTATTTACAGAGGGAAGTTTTTATAGAGCCAATGTGTAGAAAGAAGGTATAAGTATGAAAAAAAATCTTGTTCTTAAATAATATTTAGTGAGGCAGGAATTAAGATAGGCCATAGTTGTTACAAACTTAAAAGACACTAATAAGCTGTGGGCATAGTTGGACCTTCAATTTGCTTTTTTTTTTAAAAAACAAAAATCTATAAATGAGCTAAGCATGGATGGCATATACCTGTAATCTCATCACTTGGCAGGGAAGATCAGGAGTTCACAGCCAGCCTCAGCCTCATGGTGAGTTCAAGGCTTACATGAGACCCTGTCTCAAAAAGAAAAACAATATATTTACGTATTATATGTAGTATCTACTTATATATTTATACATATATATAGTACATACTTATATATTTATATGGAATATGTATATATTAATGATGTGGCAGTGTAGCTTAGTGGTAGACTGCTTGCCTAGCATGTACAAGGGCCTCATGTTCAGGCCTAGGCATTGCAAATTAATAAATAATTATAAAATAAATGAAACTTGTAGCTTGTATCTAGTTACACCATGCATTTGATCTGAGGGTGAAAAGGCAAGAGCACTGAACTGTATGACACGTGAATTTCAGAAGTTGCGCTGTGTGTAAGCTGTCTGAGTGTAAGAAGAATAGAATAGAGTCAATAAAACAGTACCACCAGTGGCATTGGAATGTGCTGCCTAATAGAAGTATGACATGATCCAAATATGGAATTGCAGATTTTCTAATAGCCAGGTTGAAAGAAGTAAAAAGAAACAGATGGAATTAATGAAAATGTATCTACCCCATATAGCCAAAGCTTTATTTTAGCATGTAATATTTTTACTTTGCTTTTTTTTTTTAAAAACCAGGACTTTGAAATCCTGTGTATTTTACATTTAGAGCACATCTCAGTATAGACTAGCATATTTCAAGTGCTCAGTAGCTTGTCTAAATGCTAATAGCTCCTGTATTAGACAGCACAATCTAATACCATAGCGATAGTCTTGTCATATTTTTAGAACTCTGTGTTGGGAACAAGTCACACAAATTTCTTATCCTTTCAAAATTTCTTATCCTTTCTTTTTGTGTTTGAAAATCTAAGCCAGGGGATATATGTTTTCATTATAAACACATTGTCAGTTTTGGCCAAAATCAGCAGTGTTTTGAACTATTAATTTAAAAATTCAGTATTGGAGCTGCAGAGTGGCTCAGCGGTTAAAAACACTGCTTGTTCTTGCAGAAGACCCAGGTTCAAATCCCAGCACCCACATGGCAGCTAACAGTTGTCCATAACTCCAGTCCCAGGGGATCTGACAGCCTCTTCTAACCTCCAAAGGCATTGCACAACATGGGTGCACTTACCTACATGCAGGCAATACACACATACACATAAAAACAATAAAAGTTTTTTTTAAATTCAGTATTTAGGGTATTTTTTTCCAGTTTATATACCTTATCAATTCACTTTAGGTTGACTTTCTTCAGCAAGCTAATAAAGACTTGGAGAAACATATTCAAGAGCTTATGGAAACCAAGGAAACAGTGACCGCTGAAGTTGTGAATTTAAGCCGTAAAAATGAAAAATTCTGCCAGGAATTGACCGAAATAGACCAGTTAGCACAGCAGTTGGAAAGACATAAAGATGAAGTGCTTGAGACTGCTGATAAAGAGCTTGGGGAAGCAAAGGTAACATTGGGCAGGGTGTGGGATGCCCGTCAGTCCAGGAACACAGCAAGCAAGGAGCTCTTTCCATGTCCTGATTCAGATGTTGGGGATATTTTGTGTGTGTGTTTTAGATTTTAATAATTAAAGCTTTTCATAAGTGCTGTTCTCACCCTCTAAAAGATTGCATTTCTAGTTGGTATAGTTTTTCTGAAGCTCGCCTATTCTTAGGATAAATGTCTAATTCTATTCTGTTTTCCTTTGAGATTTCTACCTGTGTTCTTTTGTCTTTGTCTTGTGAGACAGCCTCTGAGTTTTGACCTCTGTCAGTTTTTGCTCAAGAATCCCTTAAAGGTGTTTCTTTTCTTTTTATGCAGGTTTATGTGTATGTTATGTGTATACACATGTGTATGTGTGTTTATGTGTATGGCATGTGTGCATAGGTGTTTAGAGGACTGAAGTTGTCATTGGGGTCTGCCTCAGTTACTCTAAACTTTATTTATCGAGGCAGATTCTCTCACTAACTTGGAGCACACTGTTCAGCTTATCTGGCTAGTGAGCTTACCCCAGGGAGCCTGTCTCTGCCTCCCTTCATGCTAGGATTACAGGTGGTTGCACACCTGTGTAGCATTCAACATGGGGGCTAGACTCTGGTCCTTATACTTGTGCAGCTAGTGCTTTATCCACTGTATACTCTCCCCAGCGCCCGAAAGTACTTTAAGAACTGTTTCCTTGCAGATTTTGAAGTTATTAGCTATCATTCTTCATCTTTCAGCTTAAAAAGATGCAAAGGCTGAAATTACCTTTTTATAATAAATATTGATCTACTAAAATAAATTTTATTGTTATTTTAAATATAGCAATGAAATATGAATGGCCTTTTCTCCTTGAAGTTCTCAAAGAATTTTATCCCATTTTAACATTTTATGCTTGAATGTCTTTTTATGATCAGTCTATCATACCTGTCTGGAAAAAATGTATATGAGTTGAATTTTTTATTTAAAAAATTTCATTTACTGTTCCCTGAGCCTAAAAGACCTGCCGCAGGCCTCTCTCCTACCTGCAGGCCTCTCTCCAGGGTAAGTCCATTGCGCCCTCCAAGCCTTGACTCCCCCAGCCTCATTCACCCTCTCATCTCCGCGGCCATTCTCTCCTCCAAGTTTGGGCCCTGCCCCATTCCTTGTCTTGGGGCACCAGACACCTGGGGGACCAATATTGCTTCCTAATCCTTTTCATACAGACCAACATAGTGCCTTCACCAGACCCCAGGAGCGCTGCTTCTGGGCCTGGCTCCACCCTCACCTCCCTCTGCTTCCTTGGGCCGGCACCACCCACCAGCCTCTTTCTGGGACACAGGAGCTGACCTTTCCTCTTCCTGATCCTTTGCATCCAGACCAACCCAGCTCCTCACTGCAGTCCCCAGGAGTCCTTGGGGCCTCTTCCCGCCCCATCTGCCTTTGCGTCCCTGGGTGGGATGGCCACCAGCTGCCCTAGACCAGCATCTTTCTTGGGCCAGGCTCCCAGGCCAGTCCAACCCCCAAATTCCTGAAGCCAAAATCATCCCTGGAGGGATCCAGACTTTAGGGGAAAGCCTGAAAACATCTGACCCTCATCTGAATTGGGCCTCTGTGGGAACTCCTGAAGACAAAAGCAATCTGGCCACTCCAATATAAAATCAAAAGAGACAACAGGAAGCTTAGAGTCAGCTTTTCATGACCAAAAAGTAAACCATAAAGACACATAAAGTTCACAAAAAGAAGTAGACCTAAACTTGAAGGCCTGAGTCTCACACAAGAACCAGAAACTACAAAAGAAATTCACCTGTCAAAATCACAGAGAAAAAATAATAACATGAAGAACCAAAATAACATATGCCACAAAATAATAGTCCTCTAGAGGAAAACAATGAGAACCCCCAAGAGATAATGCAGGTCATGGAACTCAAAAGAACAATTATAAATACGATAAAAGAATTCAGTGAATTTAAAGAACACACACAAAAAAAGAAATCAAATAATTGAGAAAGATAGGGATAAACTTCTGAATGAATTCAGAGAAGAGTTAGAAATATTGAAGACTACTCAGGCTGAAATGAAGAAGGAAGTGAAACACTCAGTGAGCCAATTAGAAACGACAGGAGAAAGCCTCACCAATAGGATGAACAAAATGGAAAACAGTATCAAGACTGAAAGATAAAGTGGACAAACTACACAACTCAAGCAAAGATTATGAAAAATTTAAGAAATCACAAGAATGGAATATGCAGGAATTGTGTGACAGCATAAAAAGGACCAAACTTACGAATCATAGGCATACAGGAAGAGGAAGGAGAAGAATCCCAAGATAATGGCATGGACCAGATCTTCAACAGAATCATGGAAGAAAATTTCCCAAAATTAAAGAAAGACATGCCCATACAAATACAAGAAGCATATAGAACACCAAACAAATAGGACCAGAAAAGAAACTCCATGACACATCATAGTAAAAACACTACACATACAAAACAAAGAGACAATTCTGAAAGCTGCAAAAGAGAAACAACAAGTCACACAAGTCACATATAAAGGAAAACCCATTAGGATTACAGCTGACTTTTCAGTGCAAACTATGAAAGCCAGAAGAGCCTGGCCAAAGCATTCCCAGTTTTAAATGACCACAGATGCCAACCCAGATTACTATATCCAGCCAAAATGTCTATTATAGTAGAAGGGGAAAGAAAAATGTTCCATGACATCAATAGGCTGAAGGAATTCATGCCCACAAAACCAGCCCTTCAGAGAGTTCTGGAAGCAATACAAAGAGCTGAAGAAAGGAATGACTATACCCAAGGGATTGTGGAAAGAAATCCAATGAAGGTATAACTGTGGAAACATACAGCTATAGCAAGAATGTAAACAGAAATAAAAATGACAGGATTAATACCCATCTTTCATTAATAACTTTAAATATTAATGGACTGAACTCCCCAGTCAAAAGACACAGACTATGTGAATGGATTAAGAAACAAAACCCATCTTTTTCTTGTCTCCA